TATACGAAAAATGTCAAGTTTTGAGTTGACACACACGTAACACGTAAATTTAACCATTTTCCCATATCGGGTCATTTTTGCAAGATATTTAAATTTTTATAAAACAAAAAAACTTTTTTGTAATTCATTTTTTTTTTGTAATTTCTTTTCTTTGGGCTAACGCCTGTTTTTATGTCACAAAATCGCTGTTATGCATCGTTTTGGACGGTCAAATAACAATGTGCAATAAATTTTTTTATGAAATAGGAGCAGGAAATAATGTTACTCATACGCCATAACGTACATGGCTGCACTACACCTTTTCCAACAGTATTTCAGAAAAACACAAATGTATTTCAGAAAAAGCCAAATGTATTTCAGAAAACCTCAAATGTATTTCAGAAAAACGCAAATGTATTTCAGAAAAGGTCAAATGAATTTCAGAAAACGTCAAATGTATTTCAGAAAAACACAAATGTATTTCAGAAAAGGGCAAATGTATTTCAGAAAAGCACAAATGTATTTCAGAAAAACATAGCTGTATTCTAAAAATATTTTTCTGAAATACATTTGCGTTTTTCTGAAATACATTTGAGGTTTTCTGAAATACATTTGGCCTTTTCTGAAATACAATTGCGTTTTTCTGAAATACATTTGTGTTTTTCTGAAATACATTTGCGCTTTTCTGAAATACATTTGAGGTTTTCTGAAATACATTTGCGTTTTTCTGAAATACATTTGAGCTTTTCTGAAATACATTTGGGTTTTTCTGAAATACATTTGAGATTTTCTGAAATACATTTGAGGTTTTCTGAAATACATTTGGCCTTTTCTGAAATACATTTGTGTTTTTCTGAAATACTGTTGGAAAAAGTGTAGTATTTACATGCTCGTACATGGCGTATGAGTAACATTTTCCATGTTAAAGTTTGAATTTTTTCATTCGAAATGCAAACTTTAAATGAGAAATTACCTGAATAAGAAAAACGGAATACAGATCCGTAATCTACGAACCAAAATTAATTACCTGTCTCGACTTTTTTATATCTACAGTGTGATCATTAAAAGGCACCTAAGCTTGAGCTTTATTATTTTAGAAGGTATTAAGTTTTTCCGCTAGATAACTCATCTCGCTCACTGTGCGTTCGCTCGTGCGGCGCCGGAGATGATCAGTGCCAACCTCAAGTGGTGCTGCGGTCAATTTGAGTTCTATTTTTTCATTTTTACCACAGTTTGAATAAGTTAACTTTCATAAAAAACATCTAAAATTCGTTGATTTTTTTGGCGGATTTCTCCTTAAATACAAACGAAATGTACACCATATTTCCTTTAGCTTATCTTATATGTACTTAGATTATTTTTCATATTTGTACTTATTGATATTTTTATGCATATCGTTATAAATACATTTTTCGACGTCTTTATCGGGTCATTGTGTAGGAATGTTACCAGATACATAGTTTTTATACCTTTCATGAGCATGAAATGGTATTATAACTTTGGTCCNCTTATAGTTTTTTGGAAGTAAATTTTTAAATAAAAAGGGTCAATGAAGGAGCAACGTTTTGTCTTTTGAAACGAAACGGTTTCAGCTATACTTTGCGCATTCCAGCCGGTACAATAAATGTGGAAAGTACTTGATATTTGATATTTTAAGAACTAAAAAAATTAGTTTCCCAATGAAATGTATAAGAAATTAACAAAACAATTTACGAATTTATGAAATATGATGTCTTTGTCGATACCCATTTCGAATTAGTACAAACTTTAATATCGACATTTTGCGATATTTTATTCTTTATCTTCGATACTGAATATCGATACTAACATCGAAATTCTTATCGATTAATACTTTTTACCTTACAACTTGAGAAAGGAAATGGGAGCGTATTCTTTAATTTCCAAGTGATATGGTGAAACTTGTTTATATGTATAAAAGGATTAAATGCTAACTATTATTGAATTAAAAAAATATTTACAGCAAATTTCCAACATTTCTACCCTCTCCAAGTGAACAGTTTAACTTCTGTGCTACCTCAGCCACCAGCTGTGTGGCAGCTACTTGAAAGGTAGTTGTTGTGCTGACAGCATTTGTGAGGGCCTTCCTCTGCCACAATGTCGCAGTGCAGACAGTTGAGCTGACAATCGATGTTTGCAATACAGCTTAATATGCCGGTTGAGGCTTAGTGTGCACATAATACAAGCTCACGTGCCAATTATAGACATACATAAATACATATATCTACGCTCGTATTGTACATATACATACATACGTGAATACATGCATCTGTACATTGTATATGCACACTTATAAAATGTAAGCTTATTAAATGTTGTTAGTAGACAGTTTTAGGAGTCCTACATACATACTAATACAAATATGTATGCACATAAGTACATACATATATATATATATATATATAAGTATGACGCTGCTTATGCATTTATGGAATTTATGTTTTCGCAACAATATTGTTACGACATTTGTCTTAAGCAACAGCTTGTGGCGACATCTTGGAATTTACACTAATTTGAAATTACGCCCATTGATGTTTAAGTCAAGTGCATGGTGAGAATATATTCGTTGCAATAAGGTGCTGTTGAAAATGTCCTGATAAATTTGTACGAATATACATACATACATATGTGTTTATTGAACTTACATGAGCGCATACGAAATGGCAAATATAAGCCTACATAACTGCGATAAATAGTTTGACAAAGCAATCTAAAATAACTTTGTCTGGGAGGTTATACTGCCAATTTAATAAGACAAGGGATTTCCAAGTTTAATCTAAGTTGTCTTATTAATTAATTAAATATTTATATTAAAAAGGAGTTATAATAGCGCATTTCTACAAACTCGACTACAGCCGTCCCAAGAAATAACAAAAGATAAAAGAATAAGAAATTGTTGTGCGGGCGATAGGTCGTATGAGCAACTTTATTTGAATTTGACTGGCTTTGGACCAACATACCAGAGTTGGGAAAAATGCATTAATTATTTAATGTAAATAAAAATTACATTGCTTTAAATTTGAAAATCGAGTGCTTAATAAAATTTGAATGAATTAATTGCGAAGAAATAATGCTAATGAAAATATTTTTGTATTAACATTCAAATTTTTAAATTCGTGCTATTGAATTAAGAGTATAACAAGCTTTAAAAACTCATTTAAAAATTTTATTTGACAGTAAAAATTCTTAATTTGCGTTGAGGGAGGAATTTTGAGGTTCAAGAAGTTAGTATTGGAAGTAAAGTACACTTAAGCACACTGAGTTACGCGCACATTGCTTTTACTTTCACAACACATTTAAAATATTTACAAGAATTTTTCTACAAATAAACATAGCGGAATCGGGCATAAAATTATTAGTAGTTATTCGACGTCCTTTCAAAAGAGGTGATTTATATTTTACTAGAAAAAACTAAATGGTTTTAAATAATGCAAACGAGTAAAATTATTAAAAATTTTAATAAACTAAAATTTTTCGTTAGCATTAGTTTGGATAATTTAATGAAAAAATTTCATTAGCATCATATTTTTCAGAATTTATGCATTAAAACTTAATTAAACATTAAGTTTTCAAAATTAATGCATTGATTTTTTTTTCTAAAAATTTCAAAAATTACTGCTGTAATTTATTTCGTTAACATTAAGGCTTTAATGTACCGTTTATGCACTAAAATTTTCTAAATTCTGTATTCACATTTGTTAAACTTAAATGGGGTTTTTCTTCTCGGGAGATTTTTTTTTTCAAAACATACTACTTTAAGAAACTATTTTTATTCATTAAAAAACAAAATTTTTGGAGGTAGTTTAAAATCGGTCCAGCTCATGTAAATCTTAATATTTTTTTCAAAAATTAATGCATTGAAATTTTTATTTGCTATAAATTTCAAAAATTAATGCATTAATTTTCTACATAAACATTAATATTTTAATGTACTATTCCAAATTTGGTATGCACATTTTTATGAGTTTATTATAAGTAAGAGTTGAATTTAAAGCTATCCACACATCTATGCGATGCTGTCGGTGTGAATATGTTCCACCAAAAATTACAACAATTCCGACCGTAGTTTTCAAATGAGGAATCACACATTTGTACGATTTTGCTGCAGCGATTTATTCAAACATTCACACTTTTTCTTTTAGTCGTGCTGAAATCGTAGACTCTCGCGTTTTGAGAAAGTGCATGTCTTAATTACTTAATGTTCATCATACGCCCTGTCAGACCAATTAAAAAATATTTTACAATTGTAAATTTTCCGAGCGTACACAAATTATTCTACTAGAAAATATATCGTTTTGCAGCCTTTTAATACACCCTTACAAAGCAACTGTACTTTTTCCATTAATTAATTTTTTTTTTTGATGTCCTTGGGAGAAATCCTGTCATCCTCGTAAAAATTTCAAGGTGCAGATTTACTACAAATACGTTCTAATATGGGAAACATATCGAATTTTTTGCATTTCCAAAAATCTCATGGATGATCTAGTAGCCTTCATTCATAAATATATATATATGTATATGGAATTAAGTAAAACTTCAACTACTGGTCGGCACGGGTTATCGCTATCCTACGGCCATAAAACTTCATACATACATATGCTATTAAGGCTAAAATGCACAAATATAGAGGGTATGAATTTTTGTAATATTTTCATTTTAAATATAGTTCGATCTGCATATAACAGGAACCATAAAAAATAAAAGCTTCAAAAAATTATCAAACAACAAAATTGTTCATCAAAGTTTTGGTTTTTGTTTTATTTGGATTCCTTAGAAATAGTTTGAGTATACACTTTTGTAGTCCATAATGAAGTGCAAGTTTCAACTGCCGTTGGTTTTTTTGGACTTTTTTTTGTGGACGGTGTTGCGCATTTTCTTCTATATTAAAATAAATTTTATATATGCGTTGCACTTGCACTTTATTATACTAAAAATTTATGGTATTTAGAACTTTAACGCTAATATTTGTAAATTTATCGAATAAACATATACTTGATACTTACAATTCCTGTAAATGTGTTAACTTGTTCAATCCCTCAGGCAAGCTGTTGATCAAATTGTCATCCAGTTCTCTTTGTTGTGTGCAAACAGTGTTGATTATTTGTAGAATAAGTAGAAGAGAATTAAAGGTATAAAAAAAAGAATTAGTTACTTCTGATTAACTTTTTTTTCAAAAAAAAAAAATAGGCTAAAAGCCGACAAATTTACAAGGCCTCCAAAAAAATATATCAGGTAAATGAAGCCATGAGAGCAGAGGTGGCCTAACCCACAGTTTTTTGTACTTAACTTAAAATAGTTTCAAATGAGATAAATTTTAAAGTAAAGGTCGGTTATTCCATAATAATGGTACGTTATGCATCCATGGACCTCACAATTAAGGAATAGGTGACTTTCGTTTTAAAATTTATCACAATCAAGACTATTTCCGGTAAGAAATTACAAAAAAAAAAATGCGTGTGTAACACCGTACACATGATAGAAGGGAAACTTCTTAAAAAAGATGTGAGTACCAGATACCTACTCACGAAATTGGATGTGTAAACATATGTTTACGGTTCGGCAAAACATTAGGAGATTGAGTTACATACATATGTAGGTTTGGTTAGAAATCAAACAATAATTTCATTTCATCTTATTAATTTTCTGATACACATATAATATATTTATTAATTTTTCGGTAACACCACCTTACATGAATTCAAGCTTCTAGCATCCATAGGACCGGGTTGTAATAGAAGTAATTGTATGTTTAACAAATAAATGAAAATGTTTATAATGCAATCAATAGATCCTTACGAATTCGCCATTACCAAGGCACTAAGTAACGTACGCACTTTTGTTCGCAAAATGCATTTATTTAAGTTGAAAGACGACAAATTCCTTTTTGCGGCATTTATTCTTACTCGCTTTATATCTTCTAAGGCGAATTCATATATTTTATCACGAATTCATCTATTCATGTAGTAGCAAAAGTATAAAAACATAAAATTACGTTATAAATTAAAAGCATAGGTATCACATGTATGCGTAGTCCAATTCACGAAATCATTTCATCGATCTGAGTAAAAACTAAGTGCATAAACTCTGTTTCGCGTTAATTGTAATCATGAAATGGTGTTCACTCACTAAGTTTTTACTCAAACGCATGAAATGATTTCATGAATTGGCCTACGCATAATGGTAGTAAATGACAGAATGAATTACAACAAACACATCGTTTTGACATAATGCAAGCCGAAAACGTTGGTACAAATCAATCCGCAATCAAGTTGGACGTTTTGCCCACAAACATTGCAATTTTGCGAGCATTCTCATTGTAAAATTTCATTTTTACAATTTCATAGTTTCGGCTTACATTTATAAAATTTAACGAAAGCACGTACCTATTTCGGCTGAGTTATCCATTTTCGGTTATTTAGTGTACAAAATAAACGCAAATTAATGAGTTTGTACAACATGGCAATTAATGTAGCGATAAGTTGTACAAGTTGCCAGAAAATCCAAATTTTTTGATCTTTCATACAACCAAGACATAAAATCATTCAACAGGCCCACAAACGGTGCAATCTAGAGCAAAGCAACACCAAGTTGAAGCAACGTTCGCTACGTTTATAGCTTTTTTCGGGCGAAAATTTCAACTGCTCCTGTAACACTACCTTATATAAGTAGGCCTTGCTATCATCCTCACATATGTTATCAGAGTATACCAACGAAAAACGAGTTAATATAAGGAGATAGCGAGAGCACAAAACTACTCCAGAAAAATACACGCCCAATGACAAACATGAACAAATGTACCAGAAAAACATAATTTTTGACAATCAGTACAGTTCGCATTTATATCAACGAGCAGCTTATTACATTTGTTTTCGTTTGTACTACATATGTGCATATATATATGTACACAAACATATGTACATACACAAACATATGTACATACGTACAAATATATATACAATATGTACATACATGAACACATTGCTGTCCATAAGTACATACATATGCCCATCAGTGCATCAATGAAGCCTGTTTGCTTCATCATAAATATATCCATACAAACATATGTACATATGTGCGAATGGATCATTTATTGCATCATTTATACATATAATTGCTTGGTAGCGGCAGAGCTGAAATGCGCAATGAGTTCGTTCATACATACATATATATGTATACATACATACGTGCATTCAAACATGCATATATACATATGTTGGTACTCGTACCCATCATGCGTCGCTTTATTTCTTTTTTCCCCTTCCCTGTACTACCTATATCTTCCTTCTCACTCATGTAACGTTTTCAGTTTTAAAAATTTCACTCTCCATTTTTGCGATACCGCCGCCTAAGAAGTTTCACTTCAAAAAAAAAAAATGGGTTAGGCCACTTTTGCTCACATGGCCTCAAATCTACTGCTTAGAAATCAACCGAACGACACATAAGTTTCGTATTTCGGAACGGTATTCCAATATAAAAGTCTTTCATGAACAAACTGATTGTATCCTACTAAGTAGTATGGATCCTGACTTGGGAAATTCACCATCGACTAGATTTTCACAGTTCAAATCCAAAAAGTTCTACAAAAAGTAAAGCTAGGTAAAAGCCGTATGTAAAAGACACATCATTCGTGTAGTTTTACCGTCTTCAAAACAGCTGATGTCGAACTCCTGTCTATATGAGGCTCACACCACGATTAGCCGCATAAAAACCAGAGTGTCCAGATTTGGCGATTTCGCGCCAATTTGGCGATTTTTTTTTTTTGATATTTTCGCGTAAAAATTTAGGAAATCGCCATTGGCGAGTTTTAGAGATTTTTTACCTTCAAATAAATTTTTTCCAATAGTAAAAATATAAAAAATTTTGTTTTCCGCGATAATTTTACAGAAGCGGCTAATGAACTACGCTTATCACGGACTTGACTTAAGAAGCATATTAAGTGACTGTCAAAAAATTTTAATCACCCTAATCGAAGAACTTTTCAAACGATTAGCTAGTCAATTAAATACTTTTAAAAAAGCTTAGATTTTGTCACCAGAAAAGTGTGATAATCAAAAGAGGGCGAGTTTCAGGGACCTGCCAATTCATAACTTGACTTTGAAGGACAGAAAAGCAGCGGAAACTGAATATTTAAATCTTTTAACTTTCCCATGGAACAACGTTTTTCAGAACCAGTCCATGCGACTCTGAAGAATTTTGGCTAAATGCTTACGGAGTGACAACCGCAATAGGCCATAAAATTTATTATTGGAAATATAAGTAAAGTAGCCTTCATATTATTATCCTTGCCGCACTTACATGCTTTTGTTGAGCGCGTTTTTTCCGTAATGAATTCAACAAAAACTAAGATTCGAAATAGGATGAGGTTGGAAAGCCTTAATGCAATAATTCGAATAAAGTGTTATACGAAGACTAATAGTTTCTGCTGCAAAACGTTTCCAATATCAAACAGTATGTNAAATGAAGCCATGAGAGCAGAGGTGGCCTAACCCACAGTTTTTTGTACTTAACTTAAAATAGTTTCAAATGAGATAAATTTTAAAGTAAAGGTCGGTTATTCCATAATAATGGTACGTTATGCATCCATGGACCTCACAATTAAGGAATAGGTGACTTTCGTTTTAAAATTTATCACAATCAAGACTATTTCCGGTAAGAAATTACAAAAAAAAAAANCTGATTTTGAAGAAATTGTGGAAATGGCTGATCTCGCCTTATTATAGGTTTCTATTTTATTTTTAGCGCCAAGCTCTTAAAAACGGATTGTGCGGTTAATCAATTAATATGAGTTATAATAAATTTAATAATTGCGCAGTCCTATTGCAAAATGTGTTGAAGCAAATATTTTTTAAAAAGTGTGCGTATTTTTAAAGAAAGTTGTTTGTACATCACTATTATATATAAGTGATTTGTGTTATTTATTATTGGCCTCTGAAGGTATTATATACGCTTTTGGTTTTAAAAACTTTATTATAACAACATCTCATTTTTAAAATGAAAGATTTGTTAGATCGATTTCATGAATTTTATTAAAAAAAAAAATTGGCGATTTTTTTTTTAGAAATTGCGCTTTTTTTTATTATTACCCCGCTTTTATTAGCTCGGGATGTAACTATATAATATTGATGCGTCTAAAAGATGCAGCGATTTCAATTCCCAAGTCACATACCTGATGACAGTACGAATGGAAATTTTAATAGCGAGGTTTTAGTTTTTTAAACTATAATTTTATTAAATAATCTGGACACCCTGATAAAAACCAAGATAAGTTGTCTATCAGTTATTAAATTCATTAAGAAAGTTCTAAGGAAAAATAACCTTGCAATATATAATTTTCCTTATCACCTCGATCACATATCCATACTTCATGTACCCGATATCAGTGACCGCCAATAAATTCCAGTTTTTATTCACACATATTTTTAAATGTGTAGCTATTTGCAAGCGCAACGCATTTATCTTTCAGTGGTCACTTAAAACTGCAAAATTTCAAAAGCTGAATGACGTTAGCAATAACACCAAAAAAAAAAAAAACGAAAAACAATAACAAAGGCGATTTCCGCACATAAGTAAGTAGCACTCGATTTTATAGAAGCATTGACGCCACAAAACTTTCAACTTTTACCTTTTCAACAAAGTTTTCGCCAATTCTTCGACAAATGTTGCTGCAGGAGCTACTTAAAGAGTTTTGTTTGTAAACAAAGTGTTGCAAAAGATAAATGTATGTATGTGTATGGTGGAAAAAATGGCATAAGACTTCGACAAATGGTCGAATCTTACTTTTATTGCATTCGCAGAAGCCTGAAGTGGCATGTACATATGTACGTATGCATGAGGCACTAACCACACTCTGAAAGACCTACATATGTATGCACATACATAAAAAAAAAAGCTATGGCCATAAATAGTTTCATGACATTTATTTCAGCGTACAGCAATGCATCGGTCATTGAGTTCTGCATGCACACATACATATGTACATACGCACATATACTTACCATATACATATATGTATGCTTTGCGTGCTTTTTTCGGCTTTGCACATAAATTGCCAACAATTTTTATGGTGTTGTTGTCGTTCGATCTATCGACTAACCAATAACAAACAGTTACTGCCCACTGAACTTTATTTTGATATTTCATTTCTTTCATTTCTATCACTTTTTGCACCATTGCCGTTTTTCTTTGCTTCATTTTCTTACTTTTTTCTCTTCGTTTAAAAGCTAAACATTTGTTTCCATTCGGCTCTTTCTCCATCCATTTGTTTATAAAATTGCTGGCAAGCAATAAGTTTCGTGTCAGCTGGCGCTCAGCCATGCTCGAGGTTTATTTTTCAATTCTTTGTTAATGGATTTGTTTTTTATTGTATTGATGTACATACATACATATGTACATATATGTCTGATTTCAATAAAACCACCGAAATTTACGTCAATTTAGTAGGGTGCAATAAAATGCATAATTCTTTTGGTTTCAAAATATCGTAGTAAAAGGGACTAAAGCCAATAAGAAGGAAGGGGTTTTAACAGCTCAAAAGAAGTTGTTGAAAGTTCACTACGAAAGTTTTTTTATTTAGAATTTTTTTTTGTGATCGAATCATTTCTCCAAAAAAAAAATTTACAACGGGTTTTGACTAAAAATTGTCTTGAAACTCAGTTTAGAAGGAATAAAGAAGAGTATGATGAATGAAGAAGAACCTTGTATTTATGGCCGTTGAGTAATTATTTTTGAAAAGAAAAAATATAAAAAAAAAAAACGTTGATACTTACAAAACCTTTAAAGCTGTTAGATTTGCAAATGCATTCGCTGAGATTTTCATAATTTGATTGCGTTTTAAAAGTCTGTAAAAAAGGTGAAATGTATACATATTTTTAGTAGATATCGAGTAGCATAAAAATATAGAGCATTTTGTTTTTGTTAACTTTCTTATTGAGCTCGAGGCCGATTTTAATGAAATTTTCGGAATAATGCCTATAACAAAAAATTCATTTCCAAAAATGCTTTCCCCTTCAAGACAATCGGTCAGGTACGTGCATGACTTTTAATTTCGATGAAACTGAAATATGTTGTTTATTAGTCTAAATAATGGCCCGTATTATTTTTTTGCTCGATATCTGGGGATATTTTTTTTGTAAATACCCATAGCTTCGTTCAAAATTAATGAATGTCAACCATTTTTTCACCCAAATGTTGGTAATTGTTACCACTTTAAGACTGTAGGGTAAAATTATTGATTTTTATATTTGCAAATTTTTTACTTATTTTTAAGAAAACTTTTTCGAAATTAAATTTTGCAGAAACTATATTTTTTTCTTTCATAATTTTTCGCAAGAAAATATGCACTTTGAACTACAATCGAGCTGAATCCCTTGTAGCTTATTTTTTTCGGGGACATGCATTTTTTTTAGAAAAAATACATTTTATTAGAAGTTATTAGAAGTTAATATACATTCTAAATAAGAACCAAAACGGACTATAAATATGGGGTTGTTTAAATATCTCGACTCCTGCGCCACCTATCGGATTAACTCATCTTTAATATTGCATTGTCATCGGCTTATGAGCCAACTGTGAAGTTTCAAGTCTCTAGGTCATTGGGAAGTTAGTCAAAAATTGATTGCAAGATTTGCCCCTAACAAACATACATACATACAGAGCAAGTTAAATGAAAGCTTGTAACAAAATACCTTATAAGTCGGCCAAAAAATTTTTCCGAGCCAAAAAATACGGGTCTCATTATGTGGACCAACAAACAACATATTTCAGTTTCATAGAAATTAAAAATGAAAACCAATTGTATTTTATTTTGTTTTATTTTATCTTATATCGTTTTATTTTATTTTACTAAATTAAATAAAATTTAATTTTATTTTGTTTTATGTTATTTTATTTTATTTTATTCAATTTAATTTAATCTAATTTAATTTAATTTAAATTAACTTGATTTAATTACATTTAATTTAATTTAATTTTATTCAGTATAATATAATTTAATTTTATATAATTTAATATAATTTCATTTTATTTTATTATAATTCTATTTGTTTTATTCTATTTTATTTTGTTTTATTTTATTTTATTTTATTTTATTTTATTTTATTTTATTTTCGATGCATTGAGCATTTTAAGCCCTCATTCTCGCAAAAAAAAATTATATTAATTAAATATAGTTTTTTAATTTTATTTTTTTGTTTTAATTTTATTTTGTATCAATATTGAGATAACTTAACATACGTTTAGATACTTACAGCACAACTAAATTTGGCATGCGTGGAAAGTCGTCATCGTTGATTATTGTCAGAAGGTTGCTGCCAAGATTTCTGCAAAATTTTATACAAAATGAAAGTGTGTCAGTAAAGTTAAAATGCAGTACGCCACGCAACTGAAGGCACATCAATGAATTTGGATTGCTTTTTTGACTGGCTCCTCCTAAATGTTTTTTTTTTTTTTTTTTTAATTTTAGTCTGTCATTTATTTTTGCACTTTCAGTTACTCGATGATGTGATGCAAATATTTTCATATCTACTGACTACTTTTCCTTCTAACTAACAACATTGGCATGATTAGTAGTTGAATTGAAATGAACTTAAATCAAGAAAGAAGGAAATTGCCGGGTACATTTATATAGAAAACATAGCTTTGATTATACACAGCAAAACAATGGTATGTTTTTTAATAATATTTTGTAAAAGGTACATAAATACTGATGTACGTATGTAAATATGTACTTAAAAAAATTGCATAAAATTTAGTGGAACATGTGAAACCAAGTATTGTAAATGAAGCAGGACTACACAACCACCACATAATATGTTTTTTTTTTTTTTTTTTTAACTCAGCAATAGGGTACAACAAACCATTTTATGTAAGCAATTTAAATGACAATGAAATCAAATTTAAGAAACAATTTTGAAAATTACAAAGAGTACAGTAAGATTTTAGAGGATAGTGTGCTTTCAAGCGCGAAAGTGAGAGAGAGAACTAAGCATAGGTGAAAGCGTTAGAAGTAAGCAAGAAAAGGGGAGTGTATGTAAGAAATACTAGCTCACAGTGCTTCGAGTGCCTTTAATCCAGCCAAAGCGTTTGCCGGTATCCGATAGAATAGATTGCCCTCGAGGCGTAGAGTGCGCAATTTTGGCAGATGCTGCAGGCTATCCGTGTCCATGCTGGCTAAGGCGTTGCCATTCAGCTGACTTTTTTTTTTGTTTTTGTCATACATAGTTACATATTGATTATAGGCAAAATTAAATAAAATACAAAATACGAAAATAAAATACAATATAAATAGCATAAGTACATATTTTTGAATCTCATTAAAGCAATTTCATAATTTTTTGCGTTTGTATGGCAAGTGCATTTAGTGTGTTTGTGTGCAAAAACTAATTTTTAAGTGCGCTGCGTGATAGTAGAAAATAGTAGCTGGCCGGTTTGCAGCGCTTGAAGCATATACTCGGGCGCTTTGAAGTGATGTCACCGCCGTAGTGAATGTGTAATTGCTAAACGTGGGCGTGAATTTGAACTCAGCGCAAAAATTTTGAAGCAAAGCTTGAAATCATATGTGCCAAGAGGTTTCATTGAATGCTTGAAATACTTAACACATAATTTTGGTAATTTTTGGTAGTGTACGAACCCGATATAATTTTTGGTAACTTAAAAACTGGACATATTTTTTTGGCAGTTTAAAACATACATGTACGTACATTTTTTGGTAATATAAAAACTGGAACTTAAAATTTGGTAATTTGAAAATTAAAAATAATTTATTGTTAATTCAAAACTGGTGAAATTTGTTGGGCAATAGGCATACAATTTTCGTAATTCACGCTATTTGGTAATCTTAAATTTGGGTATATATTTTTTGGGTTTTTATGAAACTGGGCATACATTTTTGGTCATATGAGATCTACTGTCCAAATTTGAAAATTTTTATATAAAATGAGGGCCGTAAAAACCGCCAAGGCACACGTTAACAGTAATTTCTTACTTTTTGTTGAGATCCGTTTTGTAACAGAAAAAAATTTTTCCAGTTTTTAAATTACCAATTATGGCCAATTTTTAACGTAAGGAAAATTAGTTTATTTAGTTTTAAGATAACGTAAAACTCATATCAGGATTTTGAAATTACTAAAACATATGTATATATGTGTGTCAAGTCTTTAAATAGGCAAAAATTCATATTCAGTTTTTAAATTACCAAAAAGTTATGCACAGCTATTTAATTACACAAATATGATGTCCAATTTTTTAAACATCGACAATTTCTACCAAAATTTTAAATTATTTATTAGACATTTTTATTTTGCCAAAGATTTATGTCCAAATTTCAAAGGACCACAAAATTATGTACGTTTATCAAGTGACCAACAACTTGTGCTGAACTTTTGAATTACAAAAAATGCAAGTCCAGTTTTTAAATTACATGCAAAAAAAAACATGTGTATAGAATTTTTAAATTACCAGTTTCCAAATTATTTAAAATTTTTAATTGCCAAACACTTATGTACAGTTGTTAACAGATCAAAAAACTTTGACTATTTGTTAAGTGACCAAAATTTTTTGACGAAATTTTAATTTACCAAATAAATATTATCTCAAATTTTTGAATTTGTGAAAAATGACTTAAAAATTTTGTCCATTTTTCTAGCCGAAAATTTCTATTACCAAAAATGTTGGTCCAGTTTTTAAATTGCTAAGAAAGTTTTGTATTGCCACATATTTATAGTTTATATATAGTTTTCAAAAAGTCCAAAAAATTATGTCCATTTGCTAAGTGACCAAAAATTTTTCCGAAATTTTGAATTACCAAAAATGAAGTTCAGTTATAAAATACAAAAAAAAAGTAACTCGAATTTTTAAATTAACATAATTGTACGTACAGTTTTAAAATGTTCAAGATTTTTGTCCGACTTTTATGCAATTAAAATGCATTTCCAGATTTTAAATATTTATTGTGTCCAGTTTTTAAGCTACCAAAAATTTGTGCCGAAATTTAAAATTTCCAAAAATGTATCTAATATATCCAGTTTCCATTTCAGCACAATGTATTGCATATTTATGAAAATTTTTTTATTCTTACATTTCTAATCTTCTTCAAATTCGCTTCATTTATCGTGTTTTGTTATTTATTTGGTTTACTTACAGCGAAATTAAATTCTTCAATCCTTGAAACGCATGCGCTGGCAGTGATTTAAGGCCACAATTTTGTAAATTCAGACGTTTCAATTTACCAAGTCCATAAAATGCATTCGGATCAATATTAATGATGCTATTGTCGGATAAAGTTCTGTGAAGGATTGAAAAAAAAGAATCTTAAGTAGATAAACCATTGCAGAAGTGTATTGAAGAAATTTGCATAGATATTAGAACAGCAGGACTATTTATTCGCACTTTGCCACCATATCTTCGCCCTACCAAATAGACATACATACATAATTAATTGCTCAATGTGTTGAAATGCGGTAATATAGTCATTTATCTAAACAAAGTTCAAAGCATGCACGACGCAGAGACGTAACAATGAGAGAGAGTAAAATTGTCTGTTGAAGGGGAGCGCATTTGCTTGTGATGTTCGCGACGTTGAATAGTATTTGGCGTTGAGTAGATAAATCGAGTTTAAAAAGAGCATTAAGTGGAGAGTATATTGTGAATAACCTTCTTTTCAAGTAAATTAACAATTGTGTGATGATTTATTTGCGCGGTAGGCATATGCTATAGTGCAATAGTACTCATGTGTGTCGATGCGTATAAACAGTCAAAAATGTAGGGAGTAAGCCTCCTAACTACAATCACATTGAGTAGGTCAAGAATATTGGTAAATATTTTGCATTTAATTTCAAGCTTTTCTAGTGCTAGTGCAAACAACATGAGTTGTCATAGAGTAGGGGTGTGCTTTTAGAAATATTTAGATAAAATCAGCTTTATCATGAGTTTCATTTTCGCACGAAATCATTCATTTTTCGCTTACGTGTATTCACTATGATTCTCAATTTTGCGGAAATGCCCTAAAACTGGCAGTGATTCACTTATGGTCAGCTCATTTAAGGGTTTTAAATATTTTTAAAACTAATATGTGTCTATTTTTTCCCAAACTTTTTCAGTTATGCTGAATTTCAACAAGACATCAAATGGCAGCAAGTGTAATGACAAAGTTGGGCATTAAAAAATATTCCTGTCTTTACGTTAAAAAAGTAGTCATTAAATTCATTTCTTAAAGGCAATTTTACAATGCGCCAATTTTTCGTTATTTCAATGCATAGTGGAAATTCACCATTAGTTTTATTTACATACATACTTAAGTTTGTAAAAGTAGCTCAAAAACTTACAATTCTTCGAGGTTTGGTACCATAAAAAATGTGTTAGCCTCAAATGTTGTTATGTTGTTGTTGCCCAAGTCTCTGGAATTGAAAAGAAAACGCCATAATGATTATCTAGATATTACTCAAAACCGAATAAACTCAATTCAAGACATATTTGTAGCATCCGCCTTGATGTTGTCATGCAAAGCGGAGGGACCTACAGTTTTACGCCGACTCCGAACGGCATTGGTATTTTTATGAAAAGCTGTTTTTCATGGCCGAAATACGCTCGGAAGTTTGCCATTGCCGCCGAGGGGCGACCGCTGTTAGAAAAACACTCTTATTTTTAATATTGTTTTGAGCTTTGTATCAGGATTATGTTTATAAGGAAAAATGGAAAAAGTAACAGAGTCTAAGCGGTAGAAGTTAATAGCAGCTTTGAAACTACAAAGTCCTTAAAAAAATCCTGACGTCAGAGAGAACAACTAAAAACGCAGTTTTACTATATTTGGCCAACAGTTTCGTGAGTATATTAATTGTGGCTTACTAATGCCGAAGGCCATTCAAGTCCAGAAAGCGGGCGGGTATAAATAACGCTGAAGAGTAGATTTAAATTTACAAAAATTGGCAAGTGACAGTCATTGCGTTCTACCAGCTTTGAAAAATGCTTTTTCAATAGTATTCGTTATTCTAATTTATGCATTGAGGCTTGCACTGAAAATTCAGCATTACAATATGCATTTATTTAGCAACAATGTAGTACGGCAAGCGTATAACGATTTAAATAAACTGAAATTGTATAGCCGCGCTTTCAGCTTAGCTAAAAAAATTATTTGACATTTTTAAATTGCAATATTTTAACGCCGCTTTTGTTTGCACACACTCTTAGTTTTATTTTTTTGTTTTTGTGCTCCTGTAGAAAGTGATAAATTATTTCAAAACAAAGACCGAGTACAAGTAAAATTGATTTCAAACAAAGACTAACGAGAGAGAGGGGAAGAATTATGAAATGAGAATTTAAAATCTACACTTTTTGCAATGCTTTGTGAAAATGTTCTCTTGTTGATTTTTGGATATTTTTTTTTTTATTTTAAAGTGAATTTATTACACAAAGCAAAAGCAGTATGCGTTACAAATAGAAGTCAAAGCGACTATAATCATTGAAGTTATTGCACCTAGCGAAAAAAAAAACAGCAAAGACATAAGAGAGATGATAAATGAATATACGTTTGGAAATGAAAAATTATTCACAAAAAATGTGTACATTTTGGTTATAATGAAAAAATAAATAAATAAAATAAAAAATGAAATGTGTAGACCTCAAACCTATCTCATCGCTGCTTATTGCCATCTAGGCGTATACGTAATTTTTTCGATGAAATACGGTGCATTCTATGCGGCAAAATTAGAAGAAAGAGGCCATATAACAGTCATTATTTTTTTATATTTTGTAGCGATAGGCCTTGCACCATCGATTTCTTACGCATTTCTATTTTGCATGGAATGGCCAGAGTTTCAAAGGCTTCAGATTACGCTTGCCTTGGTAGGGTAATATTTACATGAAGTAAGTAAGCTTAAACGACGCAAAGTGGAAGAGCTCCATAGAAAATGTGGCACAAAGTAGTAAATGTGCTCCGATTTTGCTAAGAAATGGATCGTGGAGTACTTTTGCTCGAAATGAATAAATATGAAAAATGGTAGAATTTATCTTACTGCCACGCCCACTATACTAGGGTGCGGATATGGTAAATTTTATGCGCTTTCAATGAAATTCGATTACTAACTTAGATTAACCTAGAAGTATATAAATCTGAAAGAAGGGAAAATGCATATTCGAGTTCCTACGTTAAAATTATATTCATACAACACTGCCTTCCTGTGTCCTTTTATAATTGCTAGAGCTAGAAAAATCCTTAAAACCTGTTAATAGACATGTTTAGAATCCAGCGATTTCGAAATTCTCTCCTTCTGCCACTCTAAGACCACTGTGCGACATCGGAAAGAAGCTAGTGTTATTGTCTAGAGGTAGAGGAGGTGTCGCTCATCGTCGTAGGATAATTTTTTGGGACTCTATGCAAACTTATGCATGCGTACCAAAACTTGATTACGAACTAGGCTACAAACTGCGGACTTACTAATAAACATAGAAAGGCGGAGCTAGTTCTATTTACCCGAAAATATAAACTGCGCTGTTCACAACTTCCCTCGATAGGTTCCGTTTGCACTTGTGAATGCTGACAGGGTCAAGATCATTGCTTTACGGTCGCCCAAGATACGAATCGAAACTTTCCTGACCTCTCTAAATGGCCACGAAATATTTCCAAATCAAGGTATTTTGGGTCCCAGGATACAGTGGCGCTATGAAAGTTGGGAAGGGAGCTTTTTTTTTTTTGAAAACTATCTTGCCTAGTGTCTTTTAATTGTCTTTTAATTGTCTTACAAAAGACCATAGCCAAAATTTCCCTGTTAGTTCAAGCAATTCAAAAACAAAATAAATGACATAAAAGCATCATAAAATTCCCTTACAGCTTTCACTCCAAAGCTGTAATTTTAAAGATACCTTTAACTTATGCGTACTTACAATGACACGACATCGTCGGGCAGCTCCACTGGCACCGCTACAATGCCTATGCCACGACAGCTTAGTGCCAGCCGCTCCAAAGTGCCCGTGCAGTGGCAATGCTTCTGTGTCCACACCTCACAAACGGCATGCAGAGTGCGCGGCAAACGATCCGCTGATGCGCCTGCCAATGGTGTTGCACGTTCACTACCCAATAACGCCGGCTTATCAGTAGACGCAGCCGTTGGGTTGTCATTGCTTGCGGCAGCTGCCTGCACACTGCCATGATACTCCAGCAGTGTTTGTTCGTACAACAACTGTGCCTCCTTTTCGGGATCCAGCGAGGAGAGCACAACATTTTCACGTATATGCTCGGGCATAGTGATGGCAATGCGTTTCGTTTGGTGGCTGCCGCCAGTTACGCTGGCGGTGGCATTTCCACTCGCTGAGGGGTTACTTGCGTCAACTTGTGCTGGTGGCTGAGCGCCAAAAGCTTTGATAAATTGTGTACTATTCTGTGTATTCGTGCTGCTCACATCGTTTGTGACACTTTCATTTGCCGCTGGTGATTTATCATTTGGCTTGGCGCTAATTGGCGTAAACGTTTTGTTGCTGCCGGTTTGCGGCACTGAGGACGTGTTACTTGTATTGCTACTGTTACTTATGCTATAATTGTGGTTACTGGTGTTGTTGTTGTTGCTACTACTACGTCCACTACTCCTATTTATACTATTACTAATACTGTTGCTGGCACTCGCTTGCTTTGAGCCCACGGTTGCTAATTTCTCAACCGCTTCTTTGGTTTGCTCTACTAAATTCTCGCTTAGAAATATCTTCTCCATTAGCTGTTTTACTCCGCGTTCCACAGCGTTTAACGCATTACTGCTACTCGCAGCATTAGTTGTGGGCCGCCGCTGGTCTGCACCACCACTGGCGTTGGCGCGCAGCATCTCTGCGTTTATCACCAGCTTGCTTAATGCATGCGCCTGCAGCAGCTGCAGCGCACACATCACCAACACAAATATTACCGAATCTTTGAGTAGAAACCAAGAGTGCGTGCGATTGCCGCGCCCCCGGCTAATGGCCATGCCGCTGTCACCCCAAACACCACCAACACCACCAACACCACCAACACCACCAACACCACCAACACCAGCACCACCACTAATACACTTAACGAGCGCTGCTCTGCTATAAAGCCACACGCGAGGTTTATTTGTCGGCGGCTGCTTCTTCTTCTTCCTCTTGCCTTTAATTGCCGCTCGTAGCTGTTTACTGTGTTGCTCGTTCTCTTGTTGTTTTTGTGTTTCGAATCGACTCTGATTGATGCTGACAAGCATTTGTCATTTAATGACAGTTGTGTGTGCCACACATTTCGCACACATGTCGGCGCAACTACGCTGGCTGTAAGCGCCAGCGGCAAGGGCAATAAAAATTTTGTTGAGTAGTAACGAATGGAGCAGCGATTCTTGAAAGACTTGTAATGGACGAGGAGAAGGATGTTATATCTTAATTGTGATGCTGGTTTTTATTTCTTTGCTGATATTTGTTTGAGAAAATTTGCAAAGTTTTTGCAATGATTGTTCTTTGGCTGAACAAATGTCGTTTGTGTCAAAGTTTAAGGGATTCCGTTTTTTTTTTTTGTTGATGAACGATCTTCTGGCGTTGATTTGTGATGGCTGGAAGAGAAAAATAAATGGCATTACATTTATTATAGTATTTGTGTATGTGTATATTTTTTATTGAGCATTGGGGACTTGTCTAGGTTATACATATGTGTGTAACATCAAGAAATAAAAACCAAAATAAGTTTTTTCTAATAACGGTCGCCTCTTTGCAGGCAATGGCTAACCTACAAGAGTATTTCTGCCATGAAAAAACGGCTTCTCATAAAAATACAATCGCTGTTCGGAGTGGGCGTAAAACTGTAGGTCCTTTCCCTCTGTGTGACAACAACAAAGCGTACGCCACAAATCGAGGAGGAAGCTCTGCCAAACAGTAACATCTGTGTACGCACCTATCTATAATTATTATTGAACTAATTTATGTTCCCCGTTAGACCGACCCCTTTTTTCCTCCTTTAAGTTGGCAAATGTCGTTGCAATTCGGACTGAGCTAAAACTTGCACTCAATATCACTGTACATTAGACTGCATCACCAAAAAAAGTTGCGGTTTTTCCGCCGGGATTACAAAAGATGGACCGATTTAAAAATACCCCTAAAAACGGAATTTGTTTTTTAATAAAAATAGTTTCTTAAAAAATTTTTTTTTTTTAAATTTCTTCAGATGACAAAACAGGTTAAACTTAAAAGATCTGCATAAAACTATAAAAATCTTTTCAACGGAATCGTAATAATGAGATTTTTGCTGGTATTTTTTAACTTTTTTCAAAGATTGATTTACGAAAAAATTGAATAACTGCGCAAAAACTATTCTGATATAGACTTATGAGATCTCAGTGGAAAGGTATTTTCGCCCCCTTTTTATTTCTGTGCAAAAAAAAGTCATTCGTGTCTCAATTTTTTTCCTTTAAATACCAACACTTCTTGATTCAACTTGGAATGATGCTCGTTCATCCTAACTTTCTGTTTCATCCTTTGAATAACTTTATTAGCAAAGAAATAAAAAGGGTGAGAAAATACCTTTCCAATGATACCTCACCTCACACAAGTCTAAATCGGAGTAGTTTAGGTGCAGTTTTCAAGTTTTTGATAAAGGTAAAAAACAGCATCAAAAATCTCATTATTACGATTCCATTGAAAATATTTTTTAAATATTTTTGTGCAGATTTTTTAAGCTTAAACCTTTTGGTCGTTTGAGGGGACTTAAAAAAAAATCTTTAAAAAACTATTTTTATTCATAAAAAACTCCATTTTTTTAAGTATTTTCAAATGGGTCCAGCTCACGTAAATCTTAATATTTTGGTGGACGTCTTAAAATATAATAGATTTTATAATTCCAAATGGAAAAAGATGGAGGAGTTTTCAGGGGTCTTACATACAAACATAGCGTGTTGTTGTTGTTTTTGTAGCAGCTACTCAACTCCGTTCAGATCGGCTTGTCCATCAACCGTTGCCTGTCGTGTAGCGGTTGAGCTTAGGAAATCTGATGTAAGAATTTGCTTCCTACATTTATGGATCACCCTAATATACATATATGCCAAAAGAATTTTCTTTTTCTAAAGAGAGAAGAGAGTTACACAAAAAAAACAACTCGTGAGATTTGCTCATATATAGTAGCCATACTTTTAAGTTCAGCGAGGCTTTCGTAGATTTAACTAACTAAATGTTATTCTCAATCACTAACCTTGGTTAATTTAAGTCCAAAAAAATTTCAAAAATACGGAACTTTTCTTTAAATATAGGAAAACCGCTTTTGAATATTAATTCCATAAACTCCATTGAACAGCATCTTCAACAACCAAGCTCGTTGCATGCTACTTCTCCTTCTCTTCTTGCATCTTCTATGCAAATTCAAATGCACACATATGCAGGGTTGCCACTGACGAAAAAAAGTATTTACCACCCACTTGAGAAAAATCTACCAAGTCAGAAAAATATCTACCAATAAATTTTGTATACTTATTTTAATAAAAACTATAGTTTTGTTATTTTTTTATTTATTTTAATTAAAACTATAGTGCTTTTATTTTTTTAGTTATTTCAATAAGAATTAAAATTGTTTTTAATGAACTTTTTATTTAACTAATTACACGATATTTGAGTCATATTATTGGCATATTCGCAGTTTCCTTCAAAGCGGAAGTGATGAAACTAAGGGCAACAACGAAACTTCATAATTTGAAAAACTTCAACTGGAGTTATTATAGACAAATACAGTGACTTAAAAAAGCACTTGGTGATTTTTTTATTATTCGCAATGTTTTTCAAGTAAAAATTGTTTGTTGCTTTAACTAAATCCATAAAAATTAAGGATTCAAACTATATACAGCATTTAGAACAATTCAAAAAATTTCGTCCAAATTTCGAATTTTTTACTCTGAGTTCTTAGAACAATTTAAGATACCGAGTTTTAAAGCAAATAATACTTGAGTATAGCTCACAATGTGGTTCCCGTTGACTTTTTTTTTAATTTTATGTCACCAGTGTTTTGTGTTTTTTTATTTAACAATGTCTATTGATAAAAAATGGCGTTGATTTAATTTCGGGATTCCAGTAAAAAGAGTTTTGAATGGAGCACGATATATTCGCTTATATCGATATACATTTATACGTATGCAAGTATATAAAAAGTATGCAAAGAAATTTATAATATAAAGATAACTACGAAAAATAAATCGGTAAGGAAAAGTTCAACAAAAATCTACCAAAATGAGAAATAATTTACCTTTTTACCAACCAAAATTTTGTCTACCAATTTTGGTAACAATTTACCAAAGTGGCAACCCTGCACATATGTACATTTGTATATACTTGTATTGATCTACATATGTACCTATGCGCTTTTTCTTCAGCAATTCCTTTCACATCAATCAAAATGCTGACAGTGGCATTTCATTGCATTTAATGGATAAACATATTTTGAATAAGCGCTCACCTTTCACTCCATTTGCGAGTACATACATATGTACACATTGACTATGTATACGCGTATGGGTGCTTATTAGTTTTCTTCAAGAAATTTTACGGTCAAGGCGCCAACGGATGCGTTTAATTTTTGGCAAAATATTGCAATGTTGTATAAATACCATATCAATTTGATTGACTTGGAATTCTTGTAGAATAACAATTATGCCATCGCAAATCGATTAAGGCGATAATTTACGAATCATGCCGCAAACTTGCTTAATAGCTGGATTTGCAATGTATTTGGTGTGCTAATTATATTGGAGGAATGCCTTGGCATATTTTCTTTTATTTTTGGATTGTGAAAATTTGTTGAAATACGATGGCGATATGAAAAGTCAATGACTTTTTGAAATTTGCGAGCAGTAACTTTAAATTCGATGCTGCTCCCGTCAACTGCCATCGATTAGTATGCTATTGGAAAATTTTGAGCAAGCTGCGCCGTTTAGTTCGTGCTCAATGACCATTGAAAGCAAAAAACCCCGTGATGTTGATTCAGCTGTTTTTTGCCTAAAAATCCATTACCGAAACCAAAGAAAGGCTCGATAAATGCTCTGGGGACTCTGCACCACCAATTTCAATGGTTAAAAATTGGTTTACTGAGGTTGGTTGTGCTCGTAACAGATAATATCCATGGAATGTTATCCGACTATGAAAATATGTGATTCGGCTGAGGCTGTAAGCATCTCAACTAAAAAACATTTTTTTTGCCGAAAAATATATTTTATTCAAAGAGTTACACACTTTTCAAATAGCCCTCGTTTGAGCACAAACCAAAAAATTAAGATCCACTACATAGAAATTTTTTCGCTGCGTCATAGGGATGCTTTTGACTGACATCTAAGTTAACTCTCTGATTTTTAATAGAAGACGCCACATTGGCAACGCATCATTATTTACCTTAACTCATAAAAATCGGCCGACTCTTCACTTTTGAAGCGCGCAAGTGCGACAAAACAACTATGATGCAATGAATTTAAACCAGCTGATTTTTAATTATGCCATTCCGCCATGTTCTGTGCATCTTGTCAGTCAAAAGTATCCCTGTGACGCGGAAAATATTTTTTATCTGGGGGGGCCGTTACAGCTGGAAATTTCAAGTATGAAAACTTTTACTTGAACCTACTTTCTGGGTTTTCATATATAGTGACAGTAAAATTAATAGTGACGCGATATTTTAACAGTCTGCGTGCTGTTTTCTGCACGCAATGTTTTTTTTTTCTGGTTCCTGCAACAAATATTTTAACAGGGTTTAGTTATTTTTCTTACTATCTAACAAAAACCATGTAAGTCCGAAAACTTTTTAATCATAATTTTTAGAAAAAAATTTGGTATGCAAATTCGTAGCCCAATTACTCCTATAAAGTGCCAATTTGAAGTAGGGATATAAAAAAAAAGATCGATGTGCCGAGCAACATCGATAGTCGTGACTTCAAGCGTCGATGTTCGTCGATGTTTCTATGAATCCGATGTTAAGCAAAACATCGATGTTTTGAAAAACATCAAAGATGTTTCTTTACTAATTTT